CAAAGTCATCCTGAGTGAGAGAAACACACCCCCCCAAACTGAATTGAGTTGGGGGGTGGGCATCAGGTTTCTCACACACACACACACACACACACACACACACACACACACACACACACACACACACACACACACACACACACACACACACACACACACACACACACACACACACACACACACACACACACACACACACACACACACACCATATCACGCAGTGGCTGGTATGTGGAGACAGATTAAGACCATGCCAGGCTATGCTCTTTCTACTGTTACACTCACTCACATGTGCTCTTCGAGGTGCTAACTGTAGCCTTTTAATATCTTCTAATAATTAACACTTGAGACACTTTTATTGCTGTAATCTAATGTGACCACTGAAGAAAAGCCATTCAACTTGGATATCAAGCTGTCATCATGTTTCCATGCACATTATAAACATATATATCCTACAGCCTTTTCAAAGAAAGCAATTAAAGTGTTTGGTTTGGCTTTTTAGGTAGAAGTTTATCTTGACACCATTATTCAGCATTTTTTTCAACATTAAATACCCATTTATTTAAATGTTCTATAAAAAAGGTTTATGTAGTTTTATGCACATTTAACACACTTTTCATTATAATTTGTGTAAAGCGTATCTTTGCACTATTATTCTCACATTGTTCTTTAGCATCAGGACAGCTTGTTTTTGCACACTTTGTTATTTTTTAAAATGTCTCGTTGGTTACTCGGTAGTTAGGAATTTTGTTTCAGATAAACTTTACCTTTTAATGATTAGTAGCATTATAACTTCATCAACTTAAAAAGTCAGACGTCATGGTGTTCCACAGGGCAGTGGTCTTGTCCCATTTGTTTTCTTGTTTTTCATGCTTTGGGGTACATTCATTATAACATCAAACCTGTTTACATTCAACTTCACATGTAAATAAATATCACTTATGTTTATTTTTTATGCTGATTATAATAAAATACTTCAAGTTTTATTTATATTTATAATATATATTTTAAAGGATTTTTAAATCCTCACTAAAGACACACTTCTTCTCCCTGGCCTTTTAGTCAGAACGTTTTTGTGTTTTTTATATATCTGTTGTAATTTATTGTCTTTTATTGTGATTGTATTAATGTGTTTATATTACATGTACAGCACTTTGGCTCGACCTAAAATCGCTTTTAAATGTGCTTTATAAATAAAACTTGATTTGATTGACTTAATATGACCAAATGATTGGCAGTTTGAATGAGTATGCAACTTCTGCCTACACTAGATCACATTTTATAAAGAGAAGTTACACTACATGTCCAAATCAAAATATGTAAACAGGTCTAAGGCAGTGTTAGTGTAGGGAAGGCTGTGGCTCAGTGGGTTAGTGTGCTGATCTTCGAATCAGAGGATAGCAAGTTCGAGTCCCACTGCAGTCAGCATGTCGATGTGTCCCTGGGCAAGACACTTCACCCCAAATTGTTCCTGTGGGGATTGTCCACAGTACTGAGTGTGTGTAAGTCGCTTTGGATAAAAGCGTCTAACAGGTGACATGTAATGTTTTATTTGCTCCGGGATTTGGAAACAAGTGGGCTTACCGGACCACTGCATTCCTCCTCTCATTTCAACTTTCCACGTTTTTAATCAAAGAAACTCACAATAAGGGAAGAGGCTCCGAAGCAACAGAAACATTTATTTTACATCAGTACATCAGACATTTCATTTACCCACACGGCTGCCTGACAGACGCAACAACATCATCAGTCCATGCTAAAACAGAACACCTCTAATGTCTCTATGTACTGTGCCACTGCGTGTATATACAGCAGGTCTGCCATTTTGCCACTTCATTGTCAAAATGTATCACATCTAAAATTCTATACATCCCCTCGACACACCAGCTAATCAATGATTAAAAACATAAGAAAATAAAATAAATAAAACAGTGCTTCGATATAATTATCATCTCGTCGCTACATTTACACTTACATCAGTTATTGTTATTTATGTTATTGATTTAGATCTAACAATGGAAGTTACTTTGACTCCAGGTTTAACTCACTCACACTGTTTGGTCGTTAGAGAGATCATGAGAAACAGAGAGGAGGGATTTTCTGGGTTTATCAGTGTGTCACATGATATGAAGAACAAAACCATTAAAGTTCAGAGACATTTGATTAAAAAGGAGCATCTGCAGGGTTCAATAAAACCCTGAAAGCTCATCAACTATATTTATATTCCCCAATTTGACCAGTAGTCTTAATGTAAAACTGGAAGACAAACTTAAAAGAAATACTAATCATAACAGGCATGATTTGAACAAAATGCATATTCTATTAACTGTGATTTGTACACTTTTACCTTGATTTAGCTTCATTCTAGTGCCCTCTCACTGGGCTGTTTCATGAAATGATCAATACTTGTTTCATATTAATGAACCTGAAACAACCTTGAGATTTGAAATTGGAAGAGTAGGACAATTAAAGAAGCGGCATATTTAGCTAATATTGCACTTTCTCATGATATGTATAAATACATAACGAACAAAGTGTTTGATTGAGTAATAAAAGAGTGAATAAATAGCCTGGCTGGTTCAATCACAAGCTGTTGACACAAACGATCACAACGTTCCTGTGTGTTCTATTATAGAAGAGCTGGAGTGCTACTCGTGTGCGACAAATAAAAACGTACTACAAAAAAAAGTGTTATTCTGAAAAATGAAACCCTAAATAAATCTGTCTGTATTTTGTAAACTGCTCTTTAGTTGCTATGAGGGTTTTTATAATCTACTAAAAGGGATGCCAGACGAACAAATAAGACTTTGAATATCGTTATCCTCCCTTCATTGATGACATAAATAAGAAAAACAAAAACGATGAAAAGCAATTCTACAGAGACAAATTGACGGAGAGACAAAAGGTGTTCAAATCTCTGAACCAATTCAAAGAAATACAGTGACGTTAAATCTAAACATACACTTTACACGACATGTACAGCATTTTTACTTTCTCACAAAACAAATTGGAAACTAAAAACAAAAGGGGCTCAATCAGTGTGTGTGTGTGTGTTTCCCGGGTGACACCGAGAGGTCACTAATGTATGGTAATGTTTTGTAATGTCTAATAATAACACTGGACTCTGCCATGGCTCTCACAGCACACACACCGCTCTCAATGTGAAACAGGGATCAAGATTAAGACATCAAATACGTTGGAAGAGAACAAGAGGAGGAAGGAGGAGGATCAAATGACAGTGAATCTACAATAGAGTATTAACAATAGTAGAAATAGTAAAAACATTGTGACTTATTTCCGCTACTACAGGGAAACTGATATTCTTTCAAAACATAGAAGGATTACATTATTACTGGAATACTTGTTTAGACTTTTAAAAAGACCCAGGTTGTACTGTAAAGAAACACACCATTAACGTGCACCAGTATTCATTTCCAGTGTATCCTCTAGGACACGTGTCAAACTCAAGGCCCGGGGGCCAAATCAGGCCCTTGGTGGATTTAATTTCGGCCCGCAGGATAATTTTAAATTACTATTAGATCTGGCCCGCCGGTATATTGCACACACACCTTCACTCCATCCTGAGGGTCTCCTCAGCTCAGAGCCCAAACATCGATGAACCTGCAACTAGCATCACAGAGCAGCAAACTGAGTTTACATGGATGTTTCCTTCTGCACTTTCTTTCTTGCGACAACAGGGCATGTTTGTTTTTTCTGGTTTTTTTAAGCTGTTGTTGGCCTGTGGAAAAATGTAATCATAAGAAATGACTCCGCAGATAGAGCCATAAGAAATGACTCTGCAGATAGAGCCATAAGAAATGACTCTGCAGATAGAGCCATAAGAAATGACTCTGCAGATAGAGCCATAAGAAATGACTCCGCAGATAGAGCCATAAGAAATGACTCCGCAGATAGAGCCATAAGAAATGACTCTGCAGATAGAGCCATAAGAAATGACTCTGCAGATAGAGCCATAAGAAATGAGTCTGCAGATAGAGCCATAAGAAATGAGTCTGCAGATAGAGCCATAAGAAATGAGTCTGCAGATAGAGCCATAAGAAATGAGTCTGCAGATAGAGCCATAAGAAATGACTCTGCAGATAGAGCCATAAGAAATGACTCTGCAGATAGAGCCATAAGAAATGACTCTGCAGATAGAGCCATAAGAAATGACTGCAGATAGAGCCATAAGAAATGACTCTGCAGATAGAGCCATAACAAATGACTCTGCAGATAGAGCCATAACAAATGACTCTGCAGATAGAGCCATAACAAATGACTCTGCAGATAGAGCCATAACAAATGACTCTGCAGATAGAGCCATAAGAAATGACTGCAACTGATTATTTAACGTTTAGTGTTGTTTTTATAGGCAATAATGTAAGCTTTGTTAGTTCCAGGTTTAATATGTGCAATAAGTTCATTTCAATAAGTTTTGCTATAAACATTGAACCAGTCCGGCCCTCGACTTGTACAGATTTTTTTATTTTGGCCCAATGATGCAGCATGAACTGTGCTGAAATAGAGAGACATGCTAAGGGTGGCTACATGACACATTTATCAAAAATAAGGATCTCTTATGACGGTGTTCAGACCTTCTGACTAAAACCTGTTGAAACAAGCTTTAAGTGAGCAAACGGTTTCCATCGTGAGGGGCTATTCTTGCCAGAGTTGCTCGTGTGGTGTCCCCGAGGGTTCAGAGGACAGATAAACACACACTCGTCTCCTCGCTCAACACAGACCTACTTCCTGCCAGCGTCCAGCTAAGAGAGAAGCCTTGGCAAGTGTTTACCTATATTTGTGACAGAAAATTGTTATAATTTGTATTATATATTTTCTTATAATCTAAAAGAACACATGATCACGCTAAAAAAACCAACCTTATTATCACGCTGTTTTTTTAAGAGACATTTTTTAGAGTTGTTTATTTTTTTTCCTTCCGGTTTCTTCCTCCTTCTCCCCATCACTTCACATTCATAAGAACTCAACGGGAACTTAAGTTTAGGCTCAACTGACTAATGGAAGGTTTTATTTGCTGGTGTGTGTGTGTGTTATTATGTTAGAGGAACAGAGAAAAACACAGAGGGACAGACATGAAAGTGTTGAGAATGTGTGTGTGCATTTGTCCTGGGATGTGGTAGAGCAGGATCTGTGTGTATTAATGATTGAAACGTTTGCTGTTGTTAATTGTAAGGTGTGTGTTTTCTGTGTCTCTAATATGTGTGTGTGTGTGTGTGCGTGTTTAGTAAGCGTCGGTCCTGTAGCTTTGGTGGGCATCAGCGGTGAGCTGGGTGGTTTCTGTGGCTGAGGACGGCTGCATCACGATGGGCTCTCCAACACCATCTGGAGAGAACACACACATAAACACACATTAGAGCACGTGCAAACCAAAACAAAATATATGAGACCCGAACAAAAAGATCCCTGGCCTCACCTCTCTCGTCAGCGGTCATCTGGGCCTCCAGGTCCTCGGGGGACACGTAGAACTCGGGCTCCTGGTCCATGGGCGGCCGAGGTTTGCACTTTCCGCAGCAACAGTTACAGCAGCAGCACAGGCAACAGCAGCAATAACAGCCTGTGGACAGGCAGCAGAACACGAACAAGGCCTGGGGGGGGGGGGGGGGGGGGGGGGGGGGAGGAGAGAGGGTTAAAGGTCCCCTATCGTACTGTTTTTCATCAATATATTACAGGTCTCAGATATATACAAAACATGTCTCTGCAGTGTTTGGCTCCAAACACCAAACAGATCATTGCAGCATTACCCATAACCCCCTCTGTTTCAGCCCTGTTTCAAAAGTGCTGATTCTGTGTCTGTTACTTTAGATGAAAATAAGGAGCCCCTCCCCACGCCCCTCTGAGAGAGATTTGGTTACAAAGAACACAATGGTGCTCTAGAGGAGATTCAGGTGATAAGGTGGGGGGGGTTACCTTGGCTGGTGATTGGCTGATGGTTACACAAGACAAGACATCGTTATGACATCATAAAGTGGCCAAAATCTGATCAGCTCATTTTCAGACAGGTTTTATAGAAATGGATCAGGACAAAAAGAGAGAGAATCTTTTCTCCTGAAACGTTCAGAGTCTCTTTCCACAGAGGGGACACATGTTGATGTAGAAGAGACATGAAGAAGAGGGGACACATGTTGATGTAGAAGAGACATGAAGAGAGGGGACACATGTTGATGTCGAAGAGACATGAAGAAGAGGGGACACATGTTGATGTAGAAGAGACATGAAGAAGAGGGGACACATGTTGATGTAGAAGAGACATGAAGAAGAGGGGACACATGTTGATGTCGAAGAGACATGAAGAAGAGGGGACACATGTTGATGTAGAAGAGACATGAAGAAGAGGGGACCCATGTTGATGTAGAAGAGACATGAAGAAGAGGGGGACACATGTTGATGTCGAAGAGACATGAAGAAGAGGGGACACATGTTGATGTAGAAGAGACATGAAGAAGAGGGGGACACATGTTGATGTCGAAGAGACATGAAGAAGAGGGGACACATGTTGATGTAGAAGAGACATGAAGAAGAGGGGACACATGTTGATGTAGAAGAGACATGAAGAAGAGGGGACACATGTTGATGTAGAAGAGGACATGAAGAAGAGGGGACACATGTTGATGTCGAAGAGACATGAAGAAGAGGGGACACATGTGATGTAGAAGAGACATGAAGAAGAGGGGACACATGTTGATGTCGAAGAGACATGAAGAAGAGGGGACACATGTTGATGTAGAAGAGACATGAAGAAGAGGGACACATGTTGATGTAGAAGAGACATGAAGAAGAGGGGACACATGTTGATGTAGGAAGAGACATGAAGAAGAGGGGACACATGTTGATGTAGAAGAGACATGAAGAAGAGGGGACACATGTTGATGTAGAAGAGACATGAAGAAGAGGGGGACACATGTTGATGTAGAAGAGACATGAAGAAGAGGGGACCACATGTTGATGTAGAAGAGTCATGAAGAAGAGGGGACACATGTTGATGTAGAAGAGACATGAAGAAGAGGGGACACATGTTGATGTCGAAGAGACATGAAGAAGAGGGGACACATGTTGATGTAGAAGAGACATGAAGAAGAGGGGACACATGTTGATGTAGAAGAGACATGAAGAAGAGGGGACACATGTTGATGTAGAAGAGTCATGAAGAAGAGGGGACACATGTTGATGTAGAAGAGACATGAAGAAGAGGGGACACATGTTGATGTCGAAGAGACATGAAGAAGAGGGGACACATGTTGATGTAGAAGAGGACATGAAGAAGAGGGACACATGTTGATGTAGAAGAGACATGAAGAAGAGGGGACACATGTTGATGTAGAAGATACATGAAGAAGAGGGGACACATGTTGATGTAGAAGAGACATGAAGAAGAGGGGACACATGTTGATGTCGAAGAGACATGAAGAAGAGGGGGACACATGTTGATGTAGAAGAGACATGAAGAAGAGGGGACACATGTTGATGTAGAAGAGACATGAAGAAGAGGGGACACATGTTGATGTCGAAGAGACATGGAGAAGAGGGGGACACATGTTGATGTCGAAGAGACATGAAGAAGAGGGGACACATGTTGATGTCGAAGAGACATGAAGAAGAGGGGACACATGTTGATGTAGAAGAGACATGAAGAAGAGGGGACACATGTTGATGTCGAAGAGACATGAAGAAGATGGGGACACATGTTGATGTCGAAGAGACATGAAGAAGAGGGGACACATGTTGATGTAGAAGAGACATGAAGAAGAGGGGACACATGTTGATGTAGAAGAAGAGACATGAAGAAGAGGGGACACATGTTGATGTCGAAGAGACATGAAGAAGAGGGGACACATGTTGATGTAGAAGAGACATGAAGAAGAGGGGACACATGTTGATGTCGAAGAGACATGGAGAAGAGGGGACACATGTTGATGTCGAAGAGACATGAAGAAGAGGGGACACATGTTGATGTCGAAGAGACATGAAGAAGAGGGACATGAGAAGAGGGGACACATGTTGATGTAGAAGAGACATGAAGAAGAGGGGACACATGTTGATGTCGAAGAGACATGAAGAAGAGGGGACAACATGTTGATGTCGAAGAGACATGAAGAAGAGGGGACACATGTTGATGTAGAAGAGACATGAAGAAGAGGGGGACACATGTTGATGTAGAAGAGACATGAAGAAGAGGGGACACATGTTGATGTCGAGAGACATGAGAAGAGGGGACACATGTTGATGTAGAAGAGACATGAAGAAGAGGGGACACATGTTGATGTAGAAGAGACATGAAGAAGAGGGGGACACATGTTGATTGTAGAAGAGACATGGAGAAGAGGGGACACATGTTGATGTAGAAGAGACATTGAAGAAGAGGGGACACATGTTGATGTAGAAGAGACATGGAGAAGAGGGGACACGTGTTGATGAAGAAGAGACATGAAGAAGAGGGGACACATGTTGATGTAGAAGAGACATGAAGAAGAGGGGACACATGTTGATGTAGAAGAGACACGGAGAAGAGGGGACACATGTTGATGTAGAGGAGACACGAAGAAGAGGGGACACATGTTGATGTAGAAGAGACATGAAGAAGAGGGGACACATGTTGATGTAGAAGAGACATGAAGAAGAGGGGACACATGTTGATGTAGAAGAGACATGAAGAAGAGGGGACACATGGTTTGATGTAGAAGAGACATGAAGAAGAGGGGACACATGTTTGATTGTAGAAGAGACATGCAGAAGAGGGGACACATGTTGATGTAGAGAGGACATGAAGAAGAGGGGACACACTTGTTGATGTAGAAGAGACATGGAAGGAAGAGGGGACACAGTGTAGAGAATGTAAGAGGAAGAAGACATGGAGAAGAGGGAAGGGGACACAGTGTTGATGTAGAAGAGGACATGGAGAGAGGTGACACAGTGTTTGATGTAAGAAGAGACATGAAGAAGAGGGGCACACCTGTTGATTGTAGAAGAGACATGAAGAAGAGGGGACAACATGTTGATGTAGAAGAAGAAGGACTGGAGAAAGAGGGACACATTGATTGTAGAAGAGACATGGAGAAGAGGGGACACATGTTGATGTAGAAGAGACATCGAGGAGAAGAGGGGGACACATGTTGATGTAGAAGAGGACATGAAGAAGAGGGGACACATGTTGATGTAAGAAGAGACATGAAGAAGAGGGGACACATGTTGATGTAGAAGAGACATTGAAGAAGAGGGGACACATGTTGATGTAGAAGAGACATGAAGAAGAGGGGACACATGTTGATGTAGAAGAGACATGAAGAAGAGGGGACACATGTTGATGTAGAAGAGCCATGAAGAAGAGGGGACACATGTTGATTGTAGAAGAGACATGAAAGAAGAGGGGACACATGTTGATGTAGAAGAGGACATGAAGAAGAGGGGACACATGTTGATGTAGAAGAGACATGAAGAAGAGGGGACACATGTTGATGAAGAAGAGACATGAAGAAGAGGGGACACATGTTGATGTAGAAGAGACATGAAGAAGAGGATTTTGCATAATAGGTGACCTTTAAATAAAAGTAACAAAACTAAGTAAGTAAGCATGTGTGTGTGTGTGTGTGTGTGTGTGTGTGTGTGTGTGTGTGTGTGTGTGTGTGTGTGTGTGTGTGTGTGTTGGCCTCTTACCTTTGCCCACCAGCTGGACAGAACAAAGTAGGTGTTGACGTTCTCCTCTCCGAACTGCTCGGCGACGTAGAGCCCCAGCGAGCCGTATTTGTCGTAGATGTTCTTCTTAGTGCCGTCGCTCAGGATGGAGTGCGCGTTGTTGATCTCCTTAAACTTTTCGGATGCGTCCGGATTGTCTGGGTTCTTGTCAGGGTGAAACTTCAATGCTAGTTTCCTGTAGAAGTCACATTAAGAAAAGGTAAGGTTGGTGGATATACACCCACTTGCCGTTGTAGATGTTTTGTTTGTGGGATGCAAAATGTTGGAGACAATGTGGGTTTCAGGAATCAAACCACTGGCTGGGAATGTCCATTGATGGGACCTTCAAGACATAATCATATCTATTTGTAAAAAGGAAGTAGATAAATATAGTAAAATCATTTTTTATTACTTTCTACTTTTCTGTCATGTTGCTTATTTCTTGCAAAAAAGTTTTACTTTGGAAACATTGCTGATTTATTCTTCTATTATCTTACAATTCCCCCGTAAAATATTATGTGCACACTTTCCCGGTCAAAATGTACACGACACAAAAAACAAACAAAAACTGCTTTTGAGTTATTTTTAGTCATTTCGAATTGCTGACCCAAGAGAAACCATGCTAACAAAATAATAAAAGTAATAGATAATACATAAACAAATCTAAATGTAAGGTAAAAGCCCTTTAAAGCTTAGAGAAAAAACATTTCCATCTTCAAAACAGACTTTTCAAATATGGTAAATACTGAGTGCTTAATGAATGAACACAACTTCTAAAATGAACTTCTATTTATTCCAGGATCTCTTGCATTACATAACATTACAAGAGTGGCTTCTGACGCCCTCTAGTGGTGAACAAAATAAAACATCTGTTGGGTTGTGGTAATTATTGTCTTTTTGAACACATACCGGTAACATTTCTTGATGTCGTCTGTTGTGGCGCTCTTGTCGAGTCCAAGCACGAGGTAAAGCGATTCTCCGGAGGTGGAGAGAGCTCTCTGTCTCTGCTGGTCCATGGCTGCTCTCTCGCTCTCTCTCAGTTTCTCTCACCCTCTCTCACTCTCTCCCGCACACGCTGAGCCTCTCACCTGTCAGGTAGAAGAGAGAACACATGAGCTCATCAGAAACTAGTTGCCGTGTCTTTTTCTCACTTTCTTTCACGTGCAACAAATACGGCGAGCAAGAAAACAAATATTCTGGCGATCTCTCCTAAATGAATTAGTTAAGAAGTGAACAGGTGAGAACAAATGGGTTTCCAGGATAACCGTTGAGTTCAGAGTGAGATTTATAATCTGCGTCCTGAATTAACCTGTGCCTCTGTTACTAGATGATGAGCAGAAATACAAGAACCAATAGGAATAGGGCTGACCAGTTATAAATAGTATTTCACTGGACCACATTGTTTATTTATATGTTATTTATGTGAATAAAGTATGCAGATTTGTGTTTGAGATGCTGCCAGCTGCTGATAAGAGCTGATGTTGAAGTCAAACTTTGTGGTAGTCGTCAACAAAAAGATAATCAGGAGTTTGTACTGAAATATTCAACGTTTGTATAATTGTATATGGAAATGGCTGCTTCTTAAAACAGCATACACAACATTACAAAAGAGTATGTACCTCTACATTTCCAAAAGAAAACTAAAACACAAGTGCTCAGTTAAGGCCCCCACGATATATTATAATCTTTAACGTATGGCTTTTCCCCCCACAAATATCACGTCACACAAAGACCATACAAGTGTAGGTAGGTAACAGTTCATCTTTTTCACTACGCCAGCTCTGGAACGCCTGCTGCTAGTTTTTTCAGCAGACACACATTTTAGGTCATATCACTGGCCTGCTAGAAAACCTATGATTAGGAATATGTATTAGGTCATTTATAGGCCATTTTTTGCAGTAATTATACTAGATGTGGTGCAGTCTGTGCACGCCTCACACAACAATATACTGACTTTTAAGTAAAGTAGGTCATCAATAGGCGAGGCAACTGAGGTGTACTTACGGAAATGACCTCAGGGCTTCTGAGAGTGTCCGCATTCATTTGAATGTAGTGTTTAACGACAGTGACAGTGACAGTGACAGTGACAGTGCAGTGACAGTGCAGTGACAGTGACAGTGACAGTGACAGTGACAGTGCAGTGACAGTGACAGTGACAGTGCAGTGACAGTGACAGTGCAGTGACAGTGACAGTGAGACAGTGCCAGTGAGACAGTGACAGTGCAGTGACAGTGACAGTGCAGTGACAGTGCAGTGACAGTGACAGTGACAGTGCAGTGACAGTGACAGTGCAGTGACAGTGACAGTGACAGTGCAGTGACAGTGACAGTGACAGTGCAGTGACAGTGACAGTGCAGTGACAGTGACAGTGACAGTGACAGTGCAGTGACAGTGACAGTGACAGTGACAGTGCAGTGACAGTGACAGTGCAGTGACAGTGACAGTGCAGTGACAGTGACAGTGCAGATCACAGACATGCGGCTTGAAGAAAGACCTGCACCATCTTCATCCACGCTGGGCGTTGCTCTTATGGCTCAGTGTCATTGCATTTGACCAAATGTCTTTACATTTAATTAAGATTTTATTATTATCCACCTTTTTGTTTTATGTCCTTTTATTTAAAACATTCTTTGAGACTTCATCTTCTGGTTCAAATTTCAATAAATGTAATTTGTATAATCACTCTTTTGTCTTTATTCTACATGGAAATGTTAGATTCCATTCAAATCTGTTGATTATTCAGATCTTCCTCAGGCTAGGAATAGTATGTCGAGTTTGTAATGCTAAATGTATATCATTTTCTCACAGGATATAGAATGAGACAACACCGGTTTGATCCATTGTGTCTGAATGCTTCAGCTCTTCAGACCAACATAGTAAGATGTGAGCATGCTCCTAATTGTGTTGGTATGCAGCCTAGGTCTGTTTAATAAAGCAAATCTGCCACTTTTATATTGTAGAATTTGTTAAATTAAAGCAATCTTTAATTGTTTGTCCGAAACATAGCAATATATGCTTTTGAAATGTAACATGTCTTTGAAAAAATAATAGTATACAGTTTATATTGTTGTTCACCTTTAGCTTGAAAATACATAGATGTGTTTTTTTAATCTAATAGATAGACAGACACTTTATCGATCCCAAATTGGGAAATGATTTAACAGCAGCAGTGTGTTCAGGTATTACAATATTTAAAGTTGGAATAAAGTATGAACTACACATCACAAGTATAATGCACTGCAATCCATAAGAGAAGTCCGATATGTTCATGAAACTCCCCAGGAGACACCGACACTAACGTGGCCGAGTGGCCTCCGGAGTTTGCTGCATGAGTTGCACTGTATGATCTGTGGTGTAGTGGGCTGTCACTCAAAAACTGAGTAGCCAATGGGGACGCACCCCTGAAAGTCCCGCCCACCTGGGACGTTTGTGTCAGAATTTCAAACAAAAAGTGAAGAAAGCTGCAGCGAGAGCAAAAGTCTGATCATTGAGAAAGAAGAAACAAGAACTGCAAACAAAAACCTGTTAAAACAAAGAAAAAAGACTTATAGTTTACATGATTACACAAATGATTTGTTTGCAACTTATAGTTTTATTTTTGAATTGTATTTTCTTTTGCTTGACTCAGTTTTTTTTTCTTTTAAACTCATAGTTTTGCTTTATTCTGAGAAAGTGTTGCTTTATCTTTATGATACAAAACGAATCCCATACTAGTGGAGCACTCGCGTGAACTGCGCCGGAGCCTCGCAGCGGCGAAACTGAGGCTCCGTGGTGAACTGTGGTAAAACGAAGAGCCGAAAGAGCCGGCTCTTCTTCGTGAGCCGAGCCAAATGATCCGGCTCACTAAAAAGAGCCGGAATTCCCATCGCTAATACGTAAAGAGATAGTGGCCGTTTCTCAATCGCGAGTATACCTGCTGCAGAGCAACTATTTCAAGTGGCGCCGAAGGACTGTTTAAAAAACTTTAAATGCATGTTAACACTGAACATGCATCTAAACTCAAAACTTTATTTTCAAGTAGTGATAAGTCGGCTTAGTCAGTGGGTCTGTGACAAAATTAAAGTATAAAAGGAAAAGTGTTAAAAACAGTTGTGCAAAAAAGGTAACAAAATCCAGATGTGAGTGATGGCATTATCTGACTTCATTTGACATCTAAGAAGTGGTGTACACCGCACGGCAGATGCTTACTGAAAGTATACCAATAACATGCCATCCAACACTTCTGAATTGAAAAGGGATTTTCTGTCAAAAGAGAACTCAAACTAATACAACTTAAATCATGGCTGTGACATCAGTACTTACATTCATTTCAATGTTCACAAAATAGAAGAGTGGAGTTTTAAAAATAATACTCTGGAGAACAAACCATTTTCAAATGATGCATCGACCGATTGGATCAAAATTGTATTTATAGAAAGAAGAAAAGTGTTTCCGCCAGACCAGGGCTGAGAGCGCGTCCACCCTGAGAGACGCCCCCCTGGCGGAAACACTGCTACAGAGGCGGGTTTATGACAAAACCACAAATAAGTCAGCTATAAAGTTATGCAAGGCTAGTTAACCTGTGTTCTCTTGTGGAATTGGGTCAACGGTCAGAGTGGTTCGTATTCTATAACCTCAAACAAAAACAAACATGTCATTTAGAGCCTTGGGGTTTCATTTAAAACTGTCAAAAGGAATACATTATATATCTACTGACAGGAAATGTTCATCCAAGCTGCTGCAGCTTTAACACTCTTTTAATACTAATGGTGATTTAGCCGTTTAAACTAATGTTGTGCAATATTATAATTTGTGCACAATCATCTGGTAAAGCCTGATGAAATGCATCTTAGAGTTGAAGGAGATTAGCAGGTCAGGGGGGGTGCTGAAGGCCGGAGACACAGAATGAAACACTGACTGTAAATCCACCCACCGAGGGGCCGTTACCCAGCAGGCTGCATGACAAGCTAATTCAAGAGAACCACAATACGCTAACACACGCTATACACCCATCAACAACAACAAGAACAACAGTGACATATTACTATCATAATCAGGAAGAGAGATATTTATAAAGAATCTGAAAATCTACAAAACTGATGTTCCTCCTTGGACACTAAAACTGATAGCGTTAAGGCAAAAAACGTGTTTAAATTGTAAGGGGAGTCCCCCTTTAAATGGAGCAGTACAGAGCCCTGACCTGTGGTTGATGTCAGGTTGCAGACGGCAGGTGTACGGGGGGGGGTTAGCAGGCTTAGAGACCACAGTAAGCCAATTCTGCGACACAGACACTCAGAGCAGACTGCTACACTTAAATTAACAACGAGAAAATAATCTGCTACGCCTGTAGTCACTAATAAACACACACCTTTCTAATGACACATTACACGGTGACTAAGGAGCTCAAAACTATGACAGTTCCCATCAGAAGGATTCACACCCTTTGTGTTGTGATATTTATTATGTGGAAGCTGAAATATGCTACAGAAATAAACACTAAACAATGTCACATCAAAATGGCAATGTTGAATACTGCACATGCATAAAGCTACGATCTTTTCAAGCAGTAATGTCACAGTTCAATAGATTATTAAGTGCAAAGTTATTAGTGATTAGACTTAAACATGGACTGGTATGATCATTCAAAAGTGAAATATTTGATATTTTGGATTGCAGGACCCTTGACTGATCCATCAGACGAGAATTTGATGGTCGCCTTTTGCTCAAATAACTAATAAACTACCAAGACACTCTGAAAGCACAGAACAGGTCTTTGGTGTGTTAATCATGACAGATTATTTCTGCTATCTCATTGATGAACAAACAGAAGGACTTATTGGAAAGGGTAACTAACTCTTTATAAGGAGCTGATGAATTGTATTATCGATGTGACCAACATTGATCGGGACATTTTTGTGAATTTTCCGTACTTTACGATAAGTCCTATGCCAACTGACGTAACGTAATAAACTCAAATGTGCCAATATGATCAGATATACTGAGGTACTTTAAATCTCCATCACTCACTACAAAGACCTTTTTCTAGATGCATGCGTATAACTGAGGCTTACTTTATTAACGATTGTAAAATGCTACCTAGAAGGCGATA